GGCAAGGTGCAAACAAATTAATGAAATGCTGAGAGATATTCATTAGTTTGGTATATCTTGATATCTGTGAATTAGTGAAATGCTGAGAGATATTCATTAGTTTGGTATATCTTGATATCTGTGAATCATTATATCTTTATAGCACGTAGACGAATTGTGCCAATATAAACTAAAGACCAGGAGATTCGACACACCAGACATTAATTAAGCACATATTATTAATGATATTGTCCACCCGGAGAGCTAGCATAATGATCTCGGGAGGAGCTACTGTGTAACTAACTCAGGTTGTGGCACCTATGCTAAGTTTGAAAGCTAAATAATATAATTAACTACGATTTGACATCAGCGTCACCATGGTTACTCCTCGGTTACCCCGGTAACTCCCCTTTAATACAGCGTTCTCCCTGTAAGGTGACTTACTTATAAATGTTAACCATACTTGTAGTGTGGAGTACTCTATATGCAGTTCAGTGATGTTTAGTGGTAAATTAGTTAAACGGTTAATATTTACTCGGGATTCATGTGACTGAGTATAACAAATTTTATATTATAATATTTGTGATTTGTATAAGTGCACTGGGTTATTTAAAAGAAGAATAATCTTTATTAATTGTATTAATAAAATTAATTGGATGGTAATTTACCAAGTTTCTGTAGCCTTAAGCCTTTACCATTGGTAAAGGCTTAAGGCTACAGAAACTTAGACACAAACGTCATTACTCATTATTCCGTCGGTCTAAATTCTCATAGAACTCTCTGACAATGGCCTTGGTCAAATTTGCATCAGCTGTTTTCATTTGTGCGCCAAGCATTGAGGCATATTTCAACAATCCTCTATGAAGATCAGTGTAAATCAAAAAGTTACTTATTCCTTCATGTCCACCACATTATACTATGTCAGTTTTACTGACAGTTAACCTCTTCAAAATCAGAGATCATTTTTTTGGCCAAACATTTAAAAAACCCAAAGTAGAGTCTATAAGAAGAGGAATAACTTACATAAGTTAGAGGAGACCTGACCTACAAACTGCTCAATATGATTTTAGGAGATTGGGATGACCAGTTTAGTTCAACGATTTACAAGGTTTGCAAGGGAAAAGTAATATTAACATAACATAATCGCAGAGGCGTTTTACGGCAACCGTGTTTAGTCGTCTGCTGCTCACAAGCTTAGTATCATTATATCCTGGTAATCTATGAATATTAAAAAATAATCATCCTGCCAGGACATGAAATCTTTTATAAAGTTTACCACATCGTTTGTCAGCATGTCTGGACTCACAACTAAGAACAACAAAAAACCCGTACTAAGCCAGGTACCAGTGACATCTTTACAATGAATGCCGACCACACGCTAACAACCAGGGTCTTCAGTAAAGGAACTCTTTTCACTGCCCAGATATGTCTCTTGAGCAATATATCCACCTTATCAGTAGATCCCTTGAGAGGTCTAGACAAGTTAGAAACAAATTCCAATATGATGAGCTACTGAGACTTGATCAAATCAATCAAAATGTTAATTAGAAACAACGTTAGAGCGATGATAAAGTCTATTATATTCTTGAAGCCTATTCCCGTGACCGTTTAAATAGTGACACTGACAGTTGTATCAATCAAAGCAACAGTTTCCACAGACATGGAGCCACTATCAAATTATAGACCGCGTATCAGCATGAGTAAAAGGTTCATTTTAGGTGAAACGGGCCAAATGAGCTCCCCAGTAACGCTTAGAGGGCTCATTTGAATGTAATTAGGGTCATCGCCGCGATGAACAAATTCATGAGGGCCCACTTGAACAAATACAGCACTAACTACTAACCGCGGGAAAGTTAGCTATTGCCACCCGACTGAGTGATTAACGATCCTTGACTCGCAACAAGCGAAGTAAAAGTTTACAGATGCTGAATAAATTCATTTAGCTTCGTCAGGGCGGCAGAACAATGGGCCGGGTAGGCCTGGTCAATACTGACACTCGGGACATTATTCTAGCCGAGAATCCACTTAGGACCTGCTTAGCTGCTTCAATCTTCCTCAGCAGGGATGTGGGAGTGTCTACTCAGCCTTTCTAAAGGATTGTGGAGCGCCTCCCTAGTTTAGCGTTCAAAAGATGAGCTGAAGACTAAAACTGAGCCGATATTGAGCGAGGGTTAGAAAGGAGAATCTTTGTGTTAGGCACGGGTACCGACCTACTTCATGTTTGCTAACTCCTACCCGTTATCGTATCAGGAACGATTTAAAACAGCATTTTGGCACTCAATTTTAACGATGGGAGACCTGTTGAAGGATAGACCTAAAACGAAGGTCCTCAAGTTACTGAACACTAAATCTGGGGTGAGCGGGATATAATACTCAAAAAGGTTAGAGGGAGAGATGACGGAGAACGGATGACCTGCTGACAGATGTGTTCTCCTGTGAAGGAAGAAAAGGGAGAACTGAATTTACTGTACCGTGTCGGGTGTCCACCTGTGACCTGGTTTTGGCATTCGTTTAGCAAATTGGGCGAAAATGTGTGGAAGCTTGTATGCTAGGTCTAACTCATGCAGTTTAGATTCAAAACAAAACGTTAGTTGATAATGAATTGGAGTAATTTTCCCTGACTGGTTTGGGATAAAATATCAATGATTGATCTGTCTGGAATATGATCTGTAGTAACGTACTAGCTACTTGAATTAGATGTCCAATAATGGTTATCATAGGGAGGTGACGTATAATTTGATCTGTCACAACTTGACATCGATTGACCGATTAAAATAATTAGATTTTAGTTGTGATAATTATAATTTCCACTCAGGTGAGCAGGAAATGTTTTATTTTAACCAATTCAAGCTTAAGAACACGAAATTCTATCAGGAATATTTTATATTATATGCTAGTTAATTAGTAAGAAACATGTGTGTGCACGGAAAACAAAGAGTGACTTACATCAATAGAAGGCAACCTTAAAACAATGTTCACAAGCAATTTAACGTAACTGACCACTTCACAGAAATAGTTTCCTTCTTTCTCAAAAATGTTCGATCATTTGCGATTATCATTAAGTTGTAATAGCGTGCAATCGTCTATCAGGCCTTAAATCTAGACAAAGATCACGGAGAAACTTCTTTTCAACAAAAACTACAGTCTGAAGACAGGTTAAGCCTGTTGAATTACGTAGGAACAGGTGGGAGCTATCAATGTAACAGTCTGCTAACACATTGCTTTAGAAAATGTGGATAATTTTCCGCTGGACATCTTCAGTAAAATAAATAAATGTTTACTGAAAATTGGGGCAGAAACACAAATTGTTTGTGGGGCAATGAATGTGACCTTAAAATCAGAGAGGACATTATATATTTTAAAATATCGAATGTTTTATATTTAAAGAAATAGAAGGCATTCCTCAGCTCACAGAATGGACTTGTTTTTAAAAACAAACTTTAAAGTTGAATAACGTACACTGACCGCCATTTTTCGTCTACCATAAAACGGATTCAAAACCTTTTGATCAATGATCAAGATGAACTTTTTAATATCGTGAAATCGTGAATAAATCATGTTTTGGATCTAGATTAACATAATTGATAAACTTATTTCTATTAAAACTGCACAACATAGGCCTTTAGTCGGAAGCTTGCTTTCGTGATCTTAATACAAAATATAACTTTCGGATTTATCTGGCAAGATAATGAGTTTTAAATGAAAACTAGTTTTGAAAATATATGACTAATACAGGATACTACAGGTTGTTGTTACGAAAGTGTAGAGTTTATTATAATATCAAGATATAATGAATATTATGTTGATATTACATGTATTATGTTGATATTACATATATTATGTATGTGCTCCAGGTGTTGCCGACAAGGTGCGTACGTGCTCCAGTCTCCACTAATCCCGTGACTTGTTTTCACCAGTTAATATTGACATTATTTACTGAGATAATATCATTTTACTGATTAATATTGACCTTTAAGATCAGAATTCGCAACACGAGTTGCTTGAAGTGGGCTCTTCAGTGTATTGAATCTAGAGTTGAACTATGTGATAAGTCAAAACAGGGTTGGAATATGGAAGTTTTGTGCTAGAGGCCTAAGTGACATTACACCATAATTCCAGACAGTTTAAAATATGGAGCTTTTTACTTTGTCGTGACGAGTGTTTTTCTGTAGAAACGTGTTTTTGAGACTAATGCAGATTACCAGGGTTGTAATTACCAGATTTGTAATAGTTAAGTTATTTAAATTTTAAAACCAGCCACCAGGTCGTATAACTGTTAAGTGAAATAGTTTTAATGCTAGTTAAGTAAAATAATTTTATTGTCAGACTAACAGGTCAAATAAACAGGTATGGTAGGAAAGCTTGTGAACCATATTGTTACTCGGTTGAGTTGAACTAAGCATGCCAAAAATGTTGGAACGAGATTGTGACATCTTTCTTTAAAATTAAAGTTTTTCAACCTGTCGAAAAGTTCTAGAGAAAATTTCTCGAGACGAGCGTCACTAATTTTTCAAATGAACCCCTACTAAGTAACTGTGACTGTGACCAATCGTTCTGTGACACTTTAACCCGTCTCTGTAACCTATCGTTCTCGCGATCACGCTCGCTGTCATGTTTTCCACATTAAAACACTGCTAGTATCTACTGTGGGCAAGGTGGATCTAAAAATTGCGAGTTATGTACCTAGCTCCTGGATTTCTCCCGCGTCATTGTTGAAACTTGAAACCTAATTAAAGGCGCGTGTGTCATGCCAGAAATCCTAATATCCAGCTGTCTGGACATAAAACCACAATTAGCACGTACCTGCGTCACAGTTATTGTTATAATTACAGTGTGACTCACTCTGTAATTATAGCAATGAACATCACGTACTCTGGAATGTTATTCTTGTCATTGTGCGTACTGTTCAATTTATGCATAAACTGCTTGGTATTTGCGTTTAAAATAAATCCTTTGGACGCTCCACAGTTGTAAATGGCTGTAATTTATTATGGAATTATAGTTCACCGACCATATTTCAGGGAAAACAAAGCAAAAGCAGAGTTCTGCCGAAAAGACGAAAGAGAAATTAAAAGGAAAGCAAGGAACAAACTTATACCACGAAGCAAATCTGTGCGACCTGAATGCGTTCCTAGGTCGGTATACTAAATCAAATAGCAAATATAGCATGTACATGTTTACCATATTACATAATATACAGGGCTAGATTATACCGCTTGCAATTATTGAGAATAGACTTGCAGAGGTAATTTAGACAACACAAAATGTAGACGTACTGCAGAGCCGGTAGCCCTCTTAACCGACCCACTCTTCCAGGAGGGCACTGTGTAAACAAGGGAACGAGGGACAGTATCCTGAGTGGTGGGGATATCTATCAACCTGAGCGTAAACCATGTGAGGAGAAAAGAGGGGGAAGTGAGGAGAAACGAGGAGACATTGCTGCAAGCCGAACCAATTCTGGCTCTTTGAGGGAGAAGTCTGATGTCGCTGCCTCGGCGCGGCTCAGCGATCTGAAAAATTATCTCGGTAAGTTTACAAATTTGTCTTTACTCCTTTTCTTTGACTCTTTGTCATATTTGTCTACAGCTGACTCATACCAGGATGCTGGAGTCTTTGATTATAATTAAATGAAATAGAAGTGGCTTGGGATTCGGCCGTCAATAATTTCGCTACGAATTCCTTAGAATTGAAGTAGGGAGGTTTTAAGAAGACCTTTGTCGGCTGCATCTGATTTGGGTATGGCGCCAGAATCAAACCCGTAAGAATAATAACCTTTTCGGCCGCACATAGCTTTTAAATCAAACAATTAACTTATACTTTATTGATTACTCCAGACTAGGTAACTTAAATTTAAGTTTGCTCTTTGGTGGCTGATATTGAAAGAAATTGCGATAACTAAGATATTTAAGGTGCGCTCAGCCTCAATAAAAGGCCGATACAGGTAACTGTTGTGATCGATGACCTCACGATGCCGTAGGTACCTTCAGGGACCTGTTACGATGAGGCTAAAAAACTCCATGCTAATAATTTAAATAGTTAATTTAATTAATTGAAATACAAAATAGAAATGAATTACAAATTATTAGGCCCCGTAAAATTGCATGACATATAAGCATCATCAGTCATGGTCTGAGTTTTGAATATCGGACAATGCTTACCTTACTCGGGATTATTACGACGGGTTTATTAACGACCGGTTAAAATATGGTTCGGGAAAAATATGGCGAAATTGCTCAAAACCCACCACATTTTCCCGGTCGCCATTTTACCGGTGTCCAACCTTTCAATTTTAGATTCAAAAATTTTGTCTCAGATGTAAATTTCCTTATTAGAGATAAGCAGGTTCAGAAATTTTCGCATTGCTAAAACTTGTGAAACAAGTCGAATTATCAATAATTGTTGAAAGTAGACTCTAGCAAATTCGTTGTTTTGAATTAGCATTACATGTTTACGTGTATCAAATAACCATTATGACTCAATTTGTAGAAAATCTTCGAAAGAATGCATCGTTCACATTGTTTACAATTATGAATAAATGACTGATGAAACTGATTCATGTTATTGACCGTTTTAATTAATTCGAGTTTTAATTTAACTGTTACTTTTACTTTGAGTCCTATTTCATTATGTAGAGATAGTCAATACCTAAGAAATTAAAAATTGGCCTATTTAAATCAACTTTGACAATAAGGATATATGACAAGAATTGGGCAAAAAGGTGAATTTTTTGCAATTTTAGCCAAATGAAGTCGAAAAACCTACAACAAGTGTCCCAATAGTCTTCTTTAGTGAATATAAGACAACGATTAAAATATGAGCACCCATACCCCTTGGGAACCCTAAAAGCTGAGTCGGCGGGTTTGTTAACGACCGGTGAAAATGTGGTTCGGGAAAAATATGGCGAAATTACCCTAAACCCGCCACTTTATCCCGGTCATAATAATCCCGAGAAAGGTATACATAATTCCCTGTCCTATTAAGTTCAGCGACTGCTTCTAATGTTTTAATTAAAGGTCTGAACAATATGAAAATCCAACATCCGAAATCTTAAAAAGGTTGAAAATCTTTAGCCAAATTTTTTCCAACAACATGATCTCCAATTTCTTCTAATAACGATAAATTAATATTTCAGAGGAGTGCAGAGGATCCCCGAAGCAGAATACTCCACCATGTTCAGTAAAGGAAATTAAGATCTTAAAGGAAGGTAGACTCTCAAAGAAAGAAGAATCCGTAGATCTGAGCGCAAAATCTAGCGTGATTATGACTAAAACAAAAGATGTTCATCGGAGTAAGAGAAAGATAAAATCTTCACCTTATTCAAGGCCCAGCCAGGCTGGAGATTCTAAGGGCTACAAGATTCCAAAAGTCTCGACCGTGCGTATTATAAAACTTTAGTGCAGACGAAACGCATCAGTTGTTCATTTATTTTGATCAGATTTACTTGATTGTGTCTTGATGCATCGGCACATTTGTCTAGAGAGCGAAGCTTCATCCAATTAATCGATCTGGCCGACACATTTTGTCAAAACTAAAACCGTTCCTGTCTATTTACTAGTTAATTTCATGGGAAGCTCATATCATTAAGAGGTTAGACCATAAATTATCGGTAAACATCTTCAGGCGAATTCAGACGAGTGCTCTACCTCGAGGCGACAAACCAAGAGATCCCTAAAAATATCAGCTGATAGAAATCCTGAGATCATTCCATTGGAATGTCTGCTAGACATGTCGGCTGGTAAAGTTTCCAGTTCCGACGCTGTTTCATTGAAACGAAAACTAAAAACTGACGCAGTTACTACTCCCACACAACCCAAGGATTTACCAGCTACCTCCCAATCACTGATTGGTAAAATAGTAACCTCCTCCTGGAACTTCCTTGCAAGGACCCTGAACCCCGCCACAGGGACCACTACAGAAACAGGTTGCGGGATCACTAACCCAGGTCCTCAAACTGTACAGGGTGGGGCTCAGAGCACGATCAGCGGGGGCACTGGGTCGTTTAGTGGTGAGTCAAAGGGCGGGGCTGCTCCCAATCAACTATCTCGCTTCAAACGCAAGGTAAGGTTTTGTTCTTGAACCCGGTATACTAACAATATACTTGTTTAACCTTGTAGTAGAGCTCTTAGTCTCTCTCAAGTCTCGAGTCGGCGAGAGGACATCTTCTCGATACTTTATAATTGAATGAATAATGATCAAGGTGTTTTTTGCATTATGAATCGAACACGATCTTTAGAGAGTGTCTTTGAGAGCTGTTAGCGGGTATGTCGGTACATTTTTAAAACCAATTAGCTGACGAAAAGATAAGTTAAAAACAGCCGACTGCTTTTCAACGCAGATCGATGGCAGATATTTCTGATCGCTTGCCAGAATAACAGATCTTTCTACCGCTGTCAAAAATGCCAAATCCGCGGCTGTATGCTAGGGACGGCTATATTTAGATTATGGCTGAGAAAATGGTTGTACTGAAATTAGGCGAAAGTTCCTGCCATTAGCTACGAAAAGGCATAAAACTATAACATGCATTGTCTCCATTATTACTTGAAAGCTCGAGTTTCTAAAACAACCGTACATAAATATAAGAATACATACAATATACATAGCATAAATTTCTTTGACAACTAAATAACCATATCGATAGTGACGAGACCCACAATTTGATAATTTTCTCTAGTACGAGGTATGAAGCGAACAAATTAACTCGCGCTGGTGAGGCGGCATTAAAATGCTACGTAAAGTGCAAAATCGATCCTTTTTAGGATCACGGTTCAAATCTAGACACGAGTCATCTTAATCTCGGTAGCGCTCAAGAAGCCCGGCATATTCCACCGTAATTTGTTTCGATGGAATTCCAGTTTGGAAGTTTCTGCGGAGCTCCGAGTCGGGCTTCTTGGATTCTCTCGAAAATCGAAATTTCAATAATTTGCACCGATAATGTTTCTTTAATAAATTACTCAATATCAAAATATTCGAAACAGCGAACAGACAACTCAATTAATCGTCCCTGTTTGGGGGACATGATCATCTCTTTGGGGGCCGAATCAGTTTGGTATCCTCAGCTCAGGTCCGCCACTGATTTCTCTAACCAGTTTATTTTGGACGATTAGACCCATTAGTTGATAATTAGCAGTAGCTCCTTATCAAAAAGTAATTTCAAATATTGTGTGATTTAAGTGATAACAATGACGGATTTTAAAAACTAGACACACATAAAATTACGAAATGCGCGCGGGATATGCAAGCTACTAAAAATAAAGGGTGAAAGTGGATATTCCGCACTCTCTGCACTCTCTGTACCTAGATATACCGTCACTTAATCGACACTGAACTTGGCCCACATAGTGACCCGTGGTGACTATTACTACACTCCGGCCCATTAGGGCTGGCACAGGTAGGTACAGCAGTCAATATATCTGCAATAAGTAATAAGTATGATACATCAAGAGATCTGGTATAAATGTAACTTCCAAAAACCACGCGCGCTTAATCTGAAATATTACATTAAGTAGCAAATCTGATGCGATTTAGCTGGCACAAATCTACATTTTCGAAAGAAAATAATTTCTTCTCTACAAAACTGACTTCAGTTTCGCAGGCAAAAGTTCCGCGGACTACAGTGATGATGATTGTGAGATGATGGAGATAGACGATGTTGTAGCGACAGTCAGTGAGATAAGGAGCTCAATTCACAACTCTCACAATGGGCCTGATAGCTCTTTTCTTGCAGGTTAGAGAGCCGAATCTGATGTAGTCAGAAAGTATTTTAAAATCTGTATTTTAAATAACTTGATCGATTCTGAGAAATTAAGGAAGAAAACGCAGAGTTGACGAGGTTTAGACCCTGTCTAATAAACTGTTCGGTTGAGAGCTTCTAATTCACTAACGACACTAATATGTAAGTGTAACGCGCGGGGGTGTAATATGTAGATATCAACACGTTTTATGCCCATAATTAGTAGTCAATATAGACAGGGTTATAGACATGGCTATTGTAATGAAAAATAAATGATAGCATCTGAATCGAGGAGCACCTAAACAAGGAGCACCTAATCAAGGAGCACCTAAACAAGGAGCACCTAATCAAGGAGCACCTAAACAAGGAGCACCTAATCAAGGAGCACCTAACACTGCACACCGTAATCAATAATGCCCTCTTATTCCCATCTCGCTAGCTAAAAGATCATGTCTATCATCAGGCCCATTTTGTTATATTTCCCTGGTTGAGAAATTCGATTTAAGAATATCTGCATTCTACACGTGCAACCTACTAAAACGGACAAGTTAAATCTGCGCCATTACAAGTCAGCCCGATAAGAAGGATGGCCTGCTATAAAGCACTACACATGAAGAGCCCTGATAACTCTGATCATATCCATTATTCGTGATATTATCTCCACTTAGGAGCTGTATAATGTTGTACTAATTGTATTCCTTGCATAAAAGTTGACCACTCCCTCTCCTGTCGAGGGAAGTTACCCTGACGAAGGATTGTGGTTAAAGGTGGTTAAGGTGGTTAATTGGTCGCCACATGATTCACTGGGTTTGACTCAGGATTGGTTACCTTTGTGCGATGATACTCCGATATGGTGCTGATGGTAATTTATATCAGTGCGATATTGATACTATTATCGGGAGCCGCGCTACGCTCTAACGCTCTCATCAACTTAATCTCGCAAATATGTGTATACCGTTAAATAAGAATTCTAGGATCCACTCCGTTCTCTTGTAAAAAAACGTGTTGATCCTTCACTTGCTAATATAATAAAATATATGATAACACAAAATAGGGAGAAGAAAAGAAGACATTTCTTCAATCCTCAAAGAGTCTAAATTTTAAACGCGAGATAGTCTGCTGACATGCCGTCTGTAAATAAGACTGGGATTTTAGTAGTCGTGCACAGTATCACCCTGTCATCAATCAATTAACATGCCCATCATAAACACGAGACCTGATTTCATGATGATAATGATTTTTAGATCGCTGTATCATCCGCTCTGATCACTATCTTTGATTGACATAAACTGTGCGTGTAATTCGATAAATACCTAGAATAACCGAGGGGCTATGTTTAATTATCAATTAGATATGCACATAAAGATGTTATCTCCGTCGGCCTCTAATATATAATAATAATGGGGTAATTCTATTGAATGAATGATTGACGTCACGTTATACTAGTATTGACGTCACGTAAGCGGAAGGGCGAGAAACACTTCCTGTACAATTCTTACCATTACCATCGCGACAACAGATTGGTGTAAGCTTATAATATAATAATAGAATATGTACGCTCTTTTAGATGCTATATTATACTCATCGGACACCGTGTAGCAACACAAAACTCAAACATAAACTATCCTTGCGGAATTAGCAAATCAATGTTAAACTGTACTACGAAGGTTTTACTTCAACTCCTCAGCCATACAGGCTATAGCTGAGCTATGGACTGGTTGTTTACCTTATTTAACCTTATTTACCTTATATTTAACTCAAGCCATTATTTCAGCGGGTCACGTGACCAAACCTGCTATTAGCTCGGATAATGGACATGTTCCTGGATTAAAAGATTCCGTGGAAAGGGCTACCTCGGCAGTTCAGACCTTCTTGGTTCTGGATACAAACGTCCTCATTCATGACCTTTTATTTGTTGAGGAGCTGCTCGAACTCAGCAACCAAGGTAACCGCAGCTAACTACTGGTTACCCCGACTAGCTGTCTGAACTTTATAGGGAAAGCTTTTGTGTTATTGTGAGAAACTCCGGGAAAATTTATGCCGTGCATTCGATTTGTCTATTTCTATAGATATAAATATAACCCAAACGGCGTAAAACTACGATGTTTTAAGTTGGTAATGAGTCACTAATCACTAATTAGTAATTATGATCAATAGCTCTATAACCCTCGTACGAAGACCGACATGATCTATTGGTTTTGCTTAATTTATAATTTATCAAAAACTAAATTAAGTTAATGGTCCCTTAATAGTTTCGGGGGGGAGGGGGGGGGGGATAGATAGATACACTGCACTGATGATATTTTCCTATTTATAATTAATGTTAAATTTAACAAACCCGGATTTATTGCTTAAAATGAAATAAATTATAAAACAGGGTCCTGTAATACGGTATACACTTTATATCCCGCTCTGAATAATTTGTGGCATCCGATAGAAGGATAGAAGGGAGGGGAGCCGGCTATCCGAAGGAAAGAAACATTTAAAGTTACGTTTGGAAGAATTTGATCGGACGCTCCAAGATTTATGGCATATAATTAAGAATCTCTTCTCTTATGTATTACATACCATAAGAATCTTTCTCGGTTGGCTTAAAGATGAAGATACTGTAGTGCAAAAACGAAAGGTCAAAAAAATATATAATAAAGTTGTTCGACAAAGTTCCGTGGTTTTATTAGCATGTAAAATTTCTTCGTTTACAAAATCACTTAATAAAAGGGTGAATATTGGAGGTGCCGTAAAAGTTATAAAATAAAAATATATTTTGCCAGGGCGGCTCTTAACTTTATTTATTTACTAACAGTCTAAGTAGACGAAGTAGGTGTTAGTAGAACGTTAATTTGATTCAGGGGGGTCATCAAAGGCCTGTAAATTTCGTCGACAACTTTTGCCGTAAGGAAGAAAATTTATTGACTAAATCGCGAAAAAAGTTGCCGTGAAATTACAACAGCTATACAGAAGTTGTGCACGTGACGCAAACCCTAGCTTTGGTATCAGGTCACAGCTGATTAATCTGTATCTCACTAAGTTTAACGGGGAATCTCGCTAATGATTCACTATATTTGTCCACTCAGAGCGTACCACAGTTGTGATACCTTGGATTGTACTGCAAGAGTTAGACGGGCTTAAGTCGACCAGCAACGTGGGCAAAGCTGCTAGGAAAGCCATCGATTATCTTCTGGTAAGATTCAACCCTACCAAACTTCTTTTTTAAATGAACTCATCTACAGATCTACTATTAGATAGAAATATGAGAGGCACAATATAATATCTAACCCCAAAAAACGCCCCTTTTAAAATAAATGAGCCCTATGCCTCGCCCACTCTACGACACCCTTCGTCGTCTGGAACTTGTCTAGTGTCTACTTCATATATTGCCAGTAATAAACCCTCAAAAAACCCGCTTACAACGGATGGGGTTTTATAACAAAACGGTGATATTTGTAAGACATGGCAGACCCTTAGTTATCTGCTGAAACTGTGAGCTGGCTACAAGTTACAAGTAGAAAAGGGGGTCTGCAGATCTTGGAGTAGAGATATTTACAGGCTGTATTTGTAAGAGAAGACCACTGTGAGGTTTGTGAACCACTGTTTAGTCAATGTGTTACTAGTTCCTTAGGAGGGTTCTCGCCCTATGCTCATGTTCTAGTACTCAATACTCATGTTATCAGTTGTCATTACTCTGTAGTCCAGTATGATGTGGTGTTTTGGGTTTCAAGCTCAATTCTTACAGAAATAGAAACCAAACTAGGTTTGACGATTATGTTAGAATAAAATAATGTGGCTAAAATCTACATCCAAACATCTTTTAGCGTATTTTTGCTGAATATTTCCAGAATACCACATTTTTACATTGTTGCTGGTTAGGGGCCGTTCACATATTACGTAATCAGCCGAGGGGGAGGAGGGGGTTTCTAAATGATTACGCTAGTGTAATTTTGACGCAATAGCTACCTATGTGTAAAAATGATTACGGTGAGGGAGGGGGCTTAAAAATTGCCCAAAAAGTGATGACGTAATGTGTTAACAGTCCCTTATGCTATCATTTCTTTGGACAACATATAAAGGCAATGACGTAAGCCGGCAAGTATCAGACATCATACATAGAGAACGGAGAATATAGTAACAACGTTGAAATCAGTGAACCATGGGACTAATACTGTGTACGTGTAAGATAATAGCATCATGAGAGTTTATTAGCGCAAAATTTGTATAATAAATTAATAACATCATGTAACAACATAATATCAAAGGCAACTTAGAAACAAGCTCTCAACACGTGGGGGTTGTTTACACGCGCAACACATTTCGGAGAGGTCCTGATAGAAAACACGAGTTATGAAGTTCTCTTTTCTCTTGAATATCAATGATCCGACCTCAGACTTTAGAGATATAAGTTAGAACATTTTAAGTTTCTGAAATGATCAGAGTCGGAGAGGCGGGGAATATGGGTTACTTAGTGAGTGTTTGCGTGAATAACAATGATCAATAGCAGCTACATTGTGTAAGCAACAAAGATGACAAAACTACCGCTCGACTGAGAGGTCGTGAGTCACAAGTGGTAGGATTACATTTGTCTACCTGTTATCCTCATGCGATACCCTCACTTTCATAATATTATGATGTCAAGAATGTAGGGAACTCACGGATAAGAACAAGAGTTAGGGTTACAAAATGTACAGAAGCTAAGTTAATAGGTAACTGGAGTCACTAAAGTTAAAAGAGTAACAACAGTAACAATAGGGCTGCCCGACAATAATGCCCCCTGTGATTTAAGTCAACTAACAAGCAGACCAAACAGTGGCTGATTGGTCTGACACGTGGTAACCAATCAACTAAAACTCCCTGCAGTGAGGCTCCTCGGTAAGTTAACAGAGAAACAAGAGTAACGATAAGCTGCCCGATATTTAGGCACCATGAGATCTAACTACCTAAACAATTAACAAGAAGTGGCTGATTGGTCTGACACGTGTTAAACCAATCAACTACGACTCCCTGCAGTGAAGCAGGTATCTCGGCATCTCGGTATCACGGTATCTCGGTATCACGGTATCTCGGTACCTCAGTAACTCCCTCGGTATCTCGGTATCTCGGTACCTCAGTACCTCAGTAACTCCCTCGGTATCTCGGTATCTCGGTATCTCGGTAACTCCCTCGGTATCTCGGTATCTCGGTAACTCCCTCGGTATCTCGGTATCTCGGTATCTCGGTACCTCAGTAACTCCCTCGGTATCTCGGTATCTCGGTAACTCCCTCGGTATATCGGTATCTTGGTATCTCGGTATCTCGGTACCTCAGTAACTCCCTCGGGTATCTCGGTACCTCGGTATCTCGGTATCTTGGTATCTCGGTATCTCGGTATCTCGGTACCTCAGTATCTCGGTATCTCGGTATCTCGGTACCTCAGTATCTCGGTATCTCGGTATCTCAGTAACTATCTCATGACCCCAGGAATGTAGGAAAAGTAGGAGAGAAGGAGTGGTTTTTGAACCGAACTCAAAGATAAGAACAGAGTTGGCGGATGATAGGATATTACTGTGTTTAGAGGGGATCTGTGATGAAGGTATTCTTTAGTCAGACTTCAGAGTCTGTGAGACACTGTTTAGTGTTTAATCTGTTGTGTTGCGTGATGTCCGTAGAACTCATCAGTTTTGGGTCCGTTTGTAAATGAAACTCAATTTTTAATTCTAATATGTATATGTGAGCAAGCATCTGTAGATATATCATTTACAAAGTGCTGTAAAACTATCTCAATTGTTTAACTTTAAGTTGATTGTACGGTTTTTTGCACAATTTCTTTAGATTTATCACAATTCAATCTCCCATAACAGATGAAAACTGTGCAGCGGTCTTAGTATCTTGTGACAAAAACCTGCGCCTAAAAGCCGACGTGAACGGTTTTGAGAGTTACGGTATCTCGGAGCTCCGAAATATGCTTGGTATGTACTGTCTGAGAAACAACTGCAAGCCCTGCTTTGTAATGCTCTATTTGCTGATTCATTGTTGGGATTTCTCGTAAAACTAATCAAAGCATGCATTTTATCGTATAATTTAATAATAATTGGATGTGACTTGTGGATACTGGATGTGATTATGTCTGTTTACCTGTTGCACCTTTTAGTTTACCTCTCTTGGAACCTTTGAATATTTGAGTCTTGAGATGATATTTTGAACTAACTTGATTCTAACGAGTATTGAACAATTCAAATATTTCTACTAAATTTCTTAATTTCTAAATTAGATTTTATTCTTTACAGCATCTGAAAAGCTGCCGCTATCCAAAACCACTTGATGTCAGGAATCAACTGTAAAATATCAATAACACTGCCACTTAGTTTATACGTATAAACGTTGAGACGTATAGTTAAGACATACACTTGAGACCTATAATTGAGACTAAACTTATAGTTGAGAGAGATGTAAAAAGCCATCTCTAATCTTCATAACTAGTTCATCAATTAATCATAATGTGTTAACTTCTCCTCCTTAAAATCTTGACTCGTCCGTGTTCTTTCACTGCCAAATGATTAAATTGTCCTCGTGGTTCCTTTGCCGTTTTGTTTAGTGAACATGTATTTCAACTGTTCAAGGTCCGAACTGGAGACCGCTATTTTGCCCCCACTCATGACTGACTCCAGCTTTAATTATGAATTTTCATACGGCTCCGTAGAACTACATCACATTATCCCAAAATTTCTATTCAGCCCCACATTTCGCTAAAATTTTCTGTCGCAACCAGTAATCACTTGTCGCAACCAGTAATTCGCCTAAAACGAACATTTTCATCTTAAATTCACACCACGGCTGCAGATATCAGAAGCCTGTAGTATTTACTTGTGTTTGGAACTGTAATAAATCTAAGAATCACGTCTTTTAGAGACTACACCTAACAGAATGTCTATTATGGTGTCTAATATTATTATAACAAAATGTCTCTCAGTGTTTAGGTAGGGTGATCTTATTTGATTATTCGGTTCTTAGACCGATTTAGTCCGTGCATGCTAATAGGATATCCTGTAGTAGGTATCCTCTGATCAGTGATATCTCTCTCTCTCTCTCTCTCTCTCTCTCTCTCTCTCTCTCTCTCCCTCTCTCTCTCTCTCTCTCTCTCTCTCTCTCTCTCTCTCTCTCTCTCTCTCTCTCTCTCTCTCTCTCTCTCTCTCTCTCTCTCTCTTCTCTCTCTCTCTCTCTCTCTCTCTCTCTCTCTCTCCCTATGCTAATAGGATATCCTGTAGTAGGTATCCTCTGATCAGTGATCACCCACCCGTGCAGCTTATATTGCATTATTAGTTTATTACCTTTAGTGTTTTCAATGCATGTTACCTTGTAATGTATGTGATGTCCTCAAGTTTGGTCTAAGTTTGCAAACGTTCAATGATTTGAGGTACTGTGAAATAATGCATACTGTACATAGACAGTACCTGTCTGCTCTACTGTAGTAGTTGTACAGCAATACTAAGGTAATGGGACTACTGCTGTACAACTACTACAGAAGTAATCCCGATAACACTCGACCTCTGCCTGATCCAGAGGATGTCACCATTTTACCTTCGCACAGACATCGAACGCTGTAAGAAGATGACGATCAGACCTCGTTAAAGTTGGTTTACGTTTCCTAACTCATCATGCCGCTAGATAGTCTATAGCTTTACTGGCTGTTTCCAACAGACGCCCATAAAGTGTAAGGAGCTATGTAGTATGTAGTATGTAGTATGTAGTATGTAGTATGTAGTATGTAGTATGTAGTATGTAGTATGTAGTATGTAAGGAGCTATGTACATAACAACAATTCACTAATTACCACGGAGTTTGGTCCTGCTATTTTCAATCTACAGTAATTATGGTTCAATAATAATTGTAGTCTCAAAATTAAGGTGTTGAAACTTCATGTCAACAACCCGTTGTTTCTCAATTCAAGACCAATAAACGAGACTGTATTAATTGATGAGGTTACCTAAAAACGTTGCTAACATACTTTGACAGGATTATATCGTCGGTTTTGGGTATCAATTAGTGTTCTCTCGTTAATTGGTCTCTGTGATACCCAATCAAGTTGTGATCCTATTAACGTAAACACTAAACATGGATTATGTTTACAACGCAAACAATAATTGCTGATTGAGCGTGATGAGATTGCCTCTTTAACTGATTATTTAAACCTAATCAGATATCCTGATAAGTGATAATAAGTTAACTACGTGCACTGATTGCTTGCTGCTGATAGGGTAACTGTTTAGTAATCTGCATCATGGTCGTATCGTTTGTAAACACTCACTTATTCGCGTTTAATATTCATTGGTGTCCTAGCTGCTAATTGTCTGGGCTGGCAATTGTTTATTTCTTGTTGTTACTTTGTTATCTTCCTATCTGGCCGACCTTAATCATATTTCGATAAAATGTAACAACACTGGTATAATATAGGGCTATAATATTCTCATCTCAATAAGCCGCTCTCTTTTAAAACCATATTAAAATTTCGGGATCTGCAGTTCAAGTTATACTTGTAACACTTGTATCGTTATCGTGACACAATTACAGTCAACAGAGATAAGAAAGCCAAAAGGGGTATATCACAGATTTTTCTTTGACCTTCTTGACCTTCTGGCCTTCTGGGTCAGAAACTTGTCCTTACGTTTGTCGGATTGAACAGTTGATTCCTGGCAACTACTCTCGACACTACCTTGGCCATGGACTAGGCAGCTAGTAACATTTACCTGGACTGATATTTCAAAAATTGACTTAAAATAAACTTAAAATAAGCTTAAAATAAACTTAAAATAAACGTACAAATAAACGTAGTACAAATAAACTTACAAATAGCATAACCGACCAATGAAAGAGAAGACAATAATTACCGTATACTGCCCTGTCCGTAGTCTCTAGTGAATTGAAGCGTGACCTGTAGAGTACAGATAGCATATTGATATCAATATTATGATTTATCATCTTTTTATTATATTGCATAGTATCGTGATTATGATTAGATCTATGTAATATATTGTGCTGCTATTCTCTTTGAAATGTTAATTTGAATGTTGGGATTTTTAACATATTCTTGTAATCACTGCACTCATTAAAAAGCGCTGATCGCTGAATGCTTTTGCCCGATTCTTCTCAAACTTTAACTGATTGAAAATAATTATCATTTAAATACTACTATAAGTGAATTAACGGCCGCATTTCCGGACAATATAGTTCAAAATGGCTTGCATGGTGAGAAAAATGAACCCCTCAACAGGATCAAGTGATGGAGACAGAAGTCCTGATCTGCACTCCTCCTCCTCCACTCTTAGAACCTTCGGTAGAATGAGAAGAACAGGTAAAAACGCCGTCAAAATCTTAAATAACAAATATTATGTTGATGTCTTATTAATCTTCTTATTTGATATAAATTGTGGTGAATGAATTTCGTTCTGATGTTATTCTGATAATTTGTTGATCACAGACCCAACAGAACCTACCTCCGTAAAACCAAGACGTCCTAAACCCTCCTCCGTAACAACTCCACCAAGACGCCCTAAACCCTCCTCCGTAACAACTTCACCACAGATCCGTAAGTGGAAATGTAACACTTCTCTACAGCAGCTGGTTTAGATCGGTTTAGCCTACAACAATAATAGGTCAAGAAATTACAAAATCCGATGCTTTGTTTCATTTTTCCACGGTTTCACTTGAGATACTCTTCAGAAGTAACCAGTACCACAGCCGTAAGAATTGGCAGATCCAGTCCAGGGGATTACCCCTCAACCAGACAACCGACAAACGTCGACCCCAACTCCTTCCATGATATATCAACAAATAGAAAGGATAACGTCGACCCCTACTCCTTCCATGATATATCAACAAATAGAAAGGATAACGTCGACCCCAACTCCTTCCATGATATATCAACAAATAAAAAGGATAACGTCGACCCATACTCCTTCCATGATATATCAACAAATAAAAAGGACATCAGCGATCCTCTCTCGCGAGACAATATCACCATGGGCCGATCTGGTAAACTTTTAAAACTTACAACCATCGTTATTAACGCTTGCAGCTACTATGCCAAGTTAAACCAAATTGAGCTATTAAAGATTAAACTATAAGGACAAAAATTATTATCAATCAAGCTAATTAATCAAAACCATATCTATATTAAATTAATTAGTGAGTGACCAGTATCTGTACAGGCTCCAAGTCTCCGCCATCCTCCCCTATCGACATGAGACTGGCCATGTTCACCGGAGAAACGTCCCCTAAACCTGAACCCCGCTCTGACATTGCTAGATTCGACAAATCTGTGCTTCAGGTGAGATATTAGTTACTTAATCTAAGAGTTACTGGTGATTCACGGTGTCATTTATTGATTATGTTAAAATCTGGCTCCTGATACGAATTCTAAAATTCATTATTGATAATAATTTTATTTAACGTTCGAAAATAATGAGAATTGAGTGGTAAGTAAGTGTAGGTTCAAATAATATCGAGGACTTTAAACCTTTAATCAAGAGATCATTTTAAAATGATGTCTCTGTCAGCCTTTCGGGGGAAATTTTCACCGACTTAAAACCAATAACCTGTATAATAGACAAAAAGACTTTCAACAGAGAAAAAACGAATAGTACAGAAAAAATTAGTTTCAAAAATATAAACTGAATGATCACGTTTAGACTTAGCAGCCATCTGACAGCTTGTCAAACCTAACAGTTACCTCCTCAACTCCCAGTCAGGGTACCCCTGTATAACTTGAATAGGAATCCCTACATAGCCAGCTCAGTACTTTAAGTCTCTATTAGTTATTACTGGTTAGTTAGTTATTAGATTTATTGTGTATTATCCTGTTAGGATGGAACAATTAGTGAGTTCTCCACGGCAATGAAAGCCTAGGTTTCTATCTTATTCTGAAGACAAATTTAAAAGTTTTGAACATTTAGCTATTCTGTAAATCACGTTAATCTGCGCATGAAACTGTTTATGTCTCTATATTGAGAGTTGCATCGAAGTCTGGTATCCATATGGTCAAGTTCGGAGACAACCTGTACATTTTTTACTTTTTTAGAAGTGTGTGGTGGAGCCAGCTCAACACAGAATGAAACTCCCTGATTATATGGCTGACAAGACATTTTTCAGGACTTTCTCTGAGTAAAAAATTAAAATTAAAAGGTTGAACGGTTGAGCAGATACAGGTGGTATTAAACAAACCCTTAAAAGGTGGAGATTTAAGGTGGAGACTGGCTCTGGTTGAAGAAACTTTTGATTAAGGTGGAAAAGGTTATTGGTAACACAAACTACATCAAATTTGCAATCTGATGGTTTTATCAATATTTTATTTAAGTGCTCAACCGAGGTGGAGAAATTAAATGCACTTTTCAAAGCTGCTCAACCGGGGGTGGAGAAAGGTTTAGAGAGTTCTAGGTTAGCTAGAAAGTTGCGTCTCGGCCTTTTCTACTTCCCGTTAAATTTTGTTTTTTCCATTGACGCTCAACAGGGTGGAGATCTTTCATTAAGAAACAGTAAAAAGCCTGTCAAACATGCCTAAATTCATTGGTTTTATCACTAATTCTAATCTGCTCTGTTAACTGCTACTGTAGGGGATCATAAAACTGTTACCCCTTCTGTCTTAAAGCAAAGTGATCTAGCAAATGAAAAAACTATCAAAGTTGTGAAAAGGTGCTCAACAAGGTGGAGAAATTGTTGATTAAACATTAAAACATTAAAAAATGCATTAAAACTGGCCCACCGGGTTGAGTTGAACTTTGGCAGTTGATTTCTGGAAGAAATAACATTGGGTGACCCTTTAGCATGTATACAACTCATCAAACTAGCCATCAACCACTCAACCGCGGTGGAGAACCTTGACTTCTGATGTCAAATTTACGCCCAAATTTGCCAAATTTGAGTCTCCACCTATGTTGAGTGTACTTTTCAGCAAGGATGCCTTGTAATATGAGTTGGTAGATGATTTAGAATCATTGGTATTGTAAATGGACTGCCACAGTCACTCTACAGCTCCTAAACTACAGAATAACAGATTTTGAACTGCATGTTATGCTGTCTCCACCTCGGTTGAGCCAATTCTGAGGATCCTATTCTATGAAATATGATTGGTATAACCCATAATATTAAATATTAGGACTTTGGAGCAATTTAAATGCATGAGAGGGTTAGTTCTAGTCACTTATATTAGCTCATGTAGTCAGTGAGCTGCTCCACCTGTGTTGAGCAGACAAACCTGCTCAACCGGCACTTTTTGAGTACCCACCTGTCTTACGTAACTTTAAATTGTGAAATTTGGAGTAAATATTTTTTTCATAAGTGATTTACAGCTCCTTTATTTTTGTAATTTTCAGGTGGCCACTGTCTCCACCAAGGTTGAGATATTTAAATTTTGAACCCAGATATCATTATAGAAAGGTTAGGAGTATAATATCTGAAGAGCCTGTACCCCTTGGACTGTCAGAGGAATTATAATTAATTTTACCGTTTATGGCAGTGAAATGAGTGTAATTAGTGACTGATTTTATGTACAGGTTGTCTCCGAACTTGACCATATACAGTATGAACTATAAATACTGAATATTAACTGAATAGAATTGTTCTATATGTTAAAGAAACTCCTGTAGATTTTTAAAAACTTTAAACAACTTGTCTTCTCGTGCCATGTCCTAGACATCACAGTCGATAAGCGTTCCTTACCTTATTATATGAGACATATTTATGTTCGACTTAATTCCGGTGACCTAAATGATTTGGGAATGAAAATATGGGAATTTTTACCGAAACATTTCGTACCCCAAATTAAATCATCGTAGTTGGGGATTTTTTTCCGTCTCCTTATTTTACAAAAATAAAACCCAATATTTGAGAAATTAAATTTGAGCCTTTGAAAGTTAGCCTCAACTTAACTTATAATCTTCCAGAGGATATAGAAGACCGACAGTGTTATCTTCCACTATACTAATCCCGAAATTTCACCGCCGTGGCCAATAAAGTAGTGACAGAGCTTGCTTATTTTTAATGGAACGTGTCCAAAATCATTTTTAAAGCAATTCATGATCAAATACTAGTGTTCATTGATTGTTTGATGAATCATGTTTAGAACTTACTATATTGATAAATTGATAGTAAATCGATAAAGTCATAATTAAGGAAAATACGTGAAAAATAATTTGGGGAAAATAATGATGGTGACCTAAACTTTCTAATTTCTATACATGTAGATTGTAGGCTTTCTGTCGATATCGACTGTAAGTCTGTTTACCGTCAAGAAGCTTTAGAATTATTTTTCAATCTGAATCTCTAGTTTTAAGGGGTGCAACACTGACCCTACCCCCTTCCCCTCCCCTACCCCCTTCCCCTTCCCTTCCCCTCTCCCCTTCCCTTCCCCCTTCTCATTCCTTTCCCCCTCTGTAAGCCCTAAACCCCCACCAGGTACTAGACGATATGTCCGGCTCAATGACCGTGTTCAAACAGCAAGTGGTGACGTTTGTGGAGCAGAAACTGTCCGTACCTGGTCCGGGAATCACTGTTCAGCTGACTGAACTTCAGAACTTCCTGTCCGTACTGATACCTGACGTCAACAAGTTCCTCGATAGTTGCCGCGCTTTCCATCAGGTATGATTCATTATTTCAATATTTAATTTGCAGAGCACTGAGCAGACACCTTGTTTGGCTGGCAGAACGGCTGTCAGGCCTTTTGAAATGTTTCTGGTTCCTTTGCTGATTCCCACCACTGCACTAAATTCCGACTTATACACTAGTGTGCAATATCCATTCCACTGTGGAATTCCGACAGATTGGAATCCGGAGGGTGAACGGAATTCCGACTCGGGAACTAATTTGAATAATAAATTGGGATATATATTTAAAATTTAATTGTATTGGTTTGGTAGATGAGAACTTAGATATAATATCTGAAAAAGTATGTTAATGTATAGGTACAAAGAAACAGTTACAATAATTTTAGTAAAAACATAATTGGTTATGTTTGGTACTGAATCTGTATGCTAATTTAGTTCAATCTAGAACAAAACAAATATTCAAAATAACACTACAAACATAAATATAGTTTATAAAACAGTGACTAAGTTTACCACTTTTTAATATTATATGTGCTGTCCAGGTAAATATCTAGAGATGAGTCCAAATTGAGATGAGCTTTGACGTAAAGTTTTCTGAATCGGGGATCCTTATGAACACATGGCAATCCTTCTAACAATACCTTACTTACTTGGGTTACTTGGGGTTGCTTCATAGATCCTCTATCGGGTCATCAGAACGGCTGACCACCCGTGCAGCGAAGTTGCTGTCTTTTCTGCGCTCCAGTTCAATAACGAATTCCCGTTCTGGCAACAATATCCAGTAACAGGAGGTTCGTCCGGAATAGATGTAACAAACTCCGTCAACAATGACTTGAAACGTAGGGGGTCCTCGATAAGGTGCAGGTTTGCGGGAATGGTGTTCCACAATCGAGGCCCCATCACTACAAATGAGCTGTCAAAGATCGATTGATTCCTTTGGCTACTGGACGTTGACAAGCTAGGGACTACTGCTTTCTGGCCATAACGGAGTGTATCTGTAAACTGAACGTTGACATCATTAGGACACTTCTTGTGTAGGATCTTCCACATATGAATGATAGTGTAACGTTCTCTCCTCCGTTGAAGTGACATCAATTTTAAGGCCTTCAGTCTCTGCCAATAGTTCAGATGTTGCACACCATGTATTTTGGACGTAAATGTACGTTGTACTCCCTCTAGCTCAGCGATATCAGCTTGCTTAGTTGAATTCCAGAGGGGACAACAGTACTCGAGATGGCTTCTGACTAATGACTTGTAGAGGGTCAGCATAGTGATCTTGTTTCTCGATCTAAAAGCGCTCAGAACCCAAGAGGCAACTTTACGGGCACGTCATTTATTGCATCGTAGTACCGGTCATGTCCTTTTATGTAGACATGGTAATCTCTTGATTCGTTGTACACCAGTAGGTTTGGCCTAAATGTAAGATTTACGGTGGTTTGAATTTTGACTATCATGTCCATTTCACTAGCGACTAAGTTTCCAATATCTCGGATGTTCCTCACTTTTCCTGTAACATGATCTATTTCCCCTGTTTTTCTTGAATCCTTCTCTTCACCATCTGGATAAACTTTGACAACTTACTAGAGTAGCAGAGAGGAGTTGAGTGTGCACTTCAATGTACACAATTTTTGACCACATAGGGTCTTTCATTAGGTCATTCCAAACCAAAATCATCTAGGTACCCATTTTGTATCGGTAGTCCCAGTCCTACAGGGCGAAATTTCTAAATTGCCCTCAGGCGTAAATTTGAGATTTTTGTATCTCGGCTTCTGAACGACTTAGAGACTTGAACATTGGCTTAAAATAACCGCAATAGCCCTATTTATATACAAGTTATGAAGCAATATAAGGTCTTAAGTGCCTAGTTTTCAAGATATTCACGAAAAACTGTCTTTTGGCTCATCGCAGCCTGAATTACCGGATTATTTTTATATCTCGAGCTAGAAAGGTCGTAAAAATTTATCCAATATTGATAAATATTCGCAATGAGCACATTTATATAAGACTTATGAATCATTATATGCTCTAAAATGCTTATTTGTAGAGATATTGGCAAAAATCGGTAATTTTGGGTACACCAATACAAATTTGGTAATTCGTTTTGTCTTTTTGCTGCAAATTTTCACGTTGCAATTTTCAAGATGCGGTTTGTGGCTATCGATAGGGCTTTAAATATGCTATTGTATGGTTTTGATACAATCCTTCAGCACCTGACATAGGCAATAGGGGTCACAAACCGTCACAAACCCTGAAATGTCAGGAACTGGGCAGTGGCCGAGATAAATATTTGATAATTACTTGGACTCTTGACTCACATTATACATCTTTTCAACAGTTAGTTAGACATCTGAAACCAGTATTGAACGTGGAGTAAAACTTTTCATCCATTAGTAGCACAGGTGATGTGCCCCAGATTCCCAGAACCTTACGCCTGAGTGACAGTGGGCCTTATCGATCATGAGCTGCAAATCACAATGACTTTGGGCCTCATAGACAGGGGCATTCGTACTCTTGGCTTAAATTGGCTCTTCGTTAGTATCATCAATCAAGTTTCTAACTTCTATATCATCTGCCTGTCCAGTTGCAGTGTCCATCCGTCTCTTTGAGATTCATTACTACTTCAAGTTCAGACATTTAGTATCTGTTCAACTGTAGGTGTAATGAGGAACTTCAGTCCAGCAATATCTCTAGATTTAGCAATAACTGGTTTCGCTACTTTTCAGGTAATTGCGTTCAGCAAGCAAGTTTGTAAATTTTCAGTCCTACTGCCCCAAAGTATTGGCCCCCAGAGCACTGGTAATGCTCATGGAATGATGATTTTTTGCTTAACATAGCTCATTTTTAGGTTCCTTTTGCAGCAGTCTTCCCTATCATACTGGCATAAAAACTGATTCACCTCATTTATCTCTAAATATAATCTTGAACCTGGGCGCTACAGGTTATCGAATGTCCACCAACCTCGTGCCCCAATTATTGTCAGCCCCAGGACCTCTGGCACCTGCAACTTTGGGTCCCAGAACTTCGGGCCCAATGATACCTGTCCCTCAGGGCATTCGTACTCTTGGCTTAAATTGGCTCTTCGTTAGTATCATCAAGCAGGTTTCTCACTTCTATATCATCTGCCTGTCCAGTTGCAGTGTCCATCCGTCTCTTTGAGATTCATTACTACTTCAAGTTCAGTCATTTAGCATCTGTTCAACTGTAGGCGTAATGAGGGACTTCAGTCCAGCAAAATCTCTAGATTTAGCAATATCTGGTTTCGCTACTTGGACTCTGGGCTGTACAGGTTATCGAATGTCCATCTCGGCATTTACAATTTACATAGAGTCATAAATTAGAATTATGTGTGGCACAGAGACACTGAGGGACAGGTATCATTGGGCCCGAAGTTCTGGGACCCAAAGTTGCAGGTGCCAGAGGTCCTGGGGCTGACAATAATTGGGGCACGAGGTTGGTGGACATTCGATAACCTGTAGCGCCCAGGTTCAAGATTATATTTAGAGATAAATGAGGTGAATCAGTTTTTATGCCAGTATGATAGGGAAGACTACTGCAAAAGGAACCTAAAAATGAGCTATGTTAAGCAAAAAATCATCATTCCATGAGCATTACCAGTGCTCTGGGGGCCAATACTTTGGGGCAGTAGGACTGAAAATTTACAAACTTGCTTGCTGAACGCAATTACCTTAAAAGTAGCGAAACCAGTTATTGCTAAATCTAGAGATATTGCTGGACTGAAGTTCCTCATTACACCTACAGTTGAACAGATGCTAAATGTCTGAACTTGAAGTAGTAATGAATCTCAAAGAGACGGATGGACACTGCAACTGGACAGGCAGATGATATAGAAGTTAGAAACCTGATTGATGATACTAACGAAGAGCCAATTTAAGCCAAGAGTACGAATGCCCCTGTCTATGAGGCCCAAAGTCATTGTGGTTTGCAGCTCATGATCGATAAGGCCCACTGTCACTCAGGCGTGAGGTTCTGGGAATCTGGGGCACATCACCTGTGCTACTAATGGATGAAAAGTTTTACTCCACGTTCAATACTGGTTTCAGATGTCTAACTAACTGTTGAAAAGATGTATAATGTGAGTCAAGAGTCCAATTAATTATCAAATATTTATCTCGGCCACTGCCCAGTTCCTGACATTTCAGGGTTTGTGACGGTTTGTGACCCCTATTGCCTATGTCAGGTGCTGAAGGATTGTATCAAAACCATACAATAGCATATTTAAAGCCCTATCGATAGCCACAAACCGCATCTTGAAAATTACAACGTGAAAATTTGCAGCAAAAAGACAAAACGAATTACCAAATTTGTATTGGTGTACCCAAAATTACCGATTTTTGCCAATATCTCTACAAATAAGCATTTTAGAGCATATATAATGATTCATAAGTCTTATATAAATGTGCTCATTGCGAATATTTATCAATATTGGATAAGTTTTTACGACCTTTCTAGCTCGAGATATAAAAATAATCCGGTAATTCAGGCTGCGATGAGCCAAAAGACAGTTTTTCGTGAATATCTTGAAAACTAGGCACTTAAGACCTTATATTGCTTCATAACTTGTATATAAATAGGGCTATTGCGGTTATTTTAAGCCAATGTTCAAGTCTCTAAGTCGTTCAGAAGCCGAGATACAAAAATCTCAAATTTGCGCCTGAGGGCAATTTGGAAATTTCGCCCTGTAGGACTGGGACTACCGATACAAAATGGGTACCTAGATGATTTTGGTTTGGAATGACCTAATGAAAGACCCTATGTGGTCAAAAATTGTGTACATTGAAGTGCACACTCAACTCCTCTCTGCTACTAGAGTAACTCGTCAGTTTTTTGAATGATTCCCCCAATCTCCTTTCTTACAAGCAGAGCTGCAGTATCTCATCAAGGAGCCCTTACCACAGGAGCCGCACACTTTACTTACCAAATCGCTCATTCTGCAAAAGATTTGTTAAATTCTATGTTATACTTGATATACTTAAGTCGATCCTGACTAACATTAACCAAGAAAAGGGAACAGAA